ACTACAAAACTGTTCACACCCTTTTTTTTCCAAAACTAAAGATCCCACACCTGGTAACAAATAGGTCTGATGTAATTTAAAAAATCAATTGTGTAAATTGTCCGGCGACCTACATCTGAATTATATCCCAATGTCTGGATAAAATGGTAAAAGGACCCAAACTAAATCCTACAGCACTGGCTACCCACCATTTTGAACACCGACACAATTTAGATTTTAACAATCCAAAAAACTTAACCACAGAACAAAACAAACATAAACTTTTTAGAAATGGTTTACAACAACAGTCACATGTAAACTCAGCCGCAGCTACGCAAATATCATAAAACAAATTCGATATCGATAACATACATATAACACACAAAACATATAATATAACATATAAAACAATCATTACACTCCACACATCACACAATTCTGTATAGTCTAAATCCCCAACTCTTATTTTATCTCTCCTTTCCCTTATAATCCCGTCTATAATAATCTTGAAAGGTTAACTAGGCTTGAACGACAAACCTGTACCCTTTTTTTTCCATTGCCGGTACTTTTCAGCGCAAAGAAGCCGACTCCTCATAGAAAAATGAATTTGTATCCTTAATTCCTTCCCACTCCTTCAAAATAAAACATATATAACCAAAAAAACATTAATATCTCACTAACACTCTCAACACGACACACAACCATGACACATCTACACAGAAAACACACGCTTTGAGTGAATAAAAATACTTTGATTAAACATAAAATTTCTATATTGTGTACATCGTAGTACAAATTCATTTTCACATCTTACATGGATTTGTATAATTTAAACAATTTATAAATTCCAGGCCCTGAAGATGATTTCAATAAAGATCGAAACGTTGGCACGATAAAGAAAATGTTTTTCTAAACCTACATCACACCTGACGGCATTTCACGATCTCTAAATAATAATTATATACAATTTTTTTTTAAATGAAAAATTAGTATGACAGGCGAGATTCGAGCCCACGCCCTCGGCTTTGTGGCATTGGCGATCGAAGTCATGGTAGCTCAAGTGGTTAGACCAGCGCCGTATTTAGATGAAGGTTGTGGGTTCAAATCCCACCTGTAACAAAACTTTTTCAATTCGAAAAAATTGCCTATAATTAATTTAGTATATGAAAGAATAACTTGATAAAAAATAATAACAGTTAATATGTCAATTTGTTTAGAACCATTCGTTCCACAAAAAAATATTTTAAATCCTTCAAACGTCGAGGGTTTATCATTTGAAAACGGAAAAATATAATAGAAGGACAAGTCCACAGATAATATTTTTTTAGTTTTATCTCTTGTAGAGTCAACAGTTTTCTAACCATTCTTTATTTCTAATTTGCACATTTTCAAACAAAAATATGTTTGGATGGATATCCGCAAGTGCGCAATTTGTTTCTTATTATTTACAAAATATGTATCAGGTACATTTTTAACCACAGATTCTGTTTCTGATAATTCTGTAATAACGTCTGATAATTAGAATTTACAAGTTACACATGAAATTTGCTAACTAGGTTTGAGATTTTGACTTAATAGGCTCACCTATTAAGTTTGTGAATTAACTACATAGTACACCTGTATTTTAGGACATTTACTTTTAAAGCACGGCTTTCTGCTTTCTGAAACACCTTGTATGCATGAAAAGATACAGAATTTTTGGTCGGCGACATCAATCATTATTGCCGTTAACAGTTTCCTCCAAAGACATTCATTGTTTATTAATTTATGTTTGATTTCGTTTATTAATTATTATTAATTGAATGTACTTCCAAATCGCCTGAAGAAGCAAACCAATTTGTTTATTTACAATTTTCCTGAATATGTTTATGACGAACGACACTGTAACTAATGTAGATCCAGCAAAAGATGGAATTTCAAAGGAGAAATGGAATTCACTTATGACTAATGTATATTTCCTTACTAAATTGGTCATTTCATTACGAAGTAACTAATGAGACTTTCTCGTAATTTGTCTACACCCACCGGTTTGTACAATTGTATTTCCAGGCGTAGCATATTATTTCTGTGTACTTCAAATTATAGTACATCTAATGTGTTTTACGAGCTTAGTGAATCGGATTACTTAATAGATCTAGATGTTTTGAAAAGTAAAATTCATGGATATTATAAATGATTGAATTATAGGTAAAAACAACCTATAGAAATATGCCAGAATATTTAAAAAAACATATATTTTGCAAATTTTTTTTGTCGGTCTTTGCTAGTACGTTTCTTTCTTTGCATTTCTTTTCTTGCCTTTATCGCGTTTGAATTCTACTAATTTCTTTTCCTGTTTCTCCAGCCAAGTCATGATGTTCTTAGCTTCTCTGTAAATCAGGGCCTTGCCAATCAATAATAGAGTTGAGATGGGTTTTGTTCTGCGATTAAATAATAGTTATTAGTAAGTCATAACGGAATAGGAATTAACACTTCTCACGGTAAGTCATTAGATTCATTTACTCCGGTGTAAGCGTTGCCACCCAAGTACGCTTCTGGCCTATCGAAAAGTATGTAAGTTGAAGACTCTATCCCATGTAAGATATCAATTGAATCACTTCTATTGCTTGTATGGTAGAAATTTAAAATGTTATAAAAAGGCGAATATTCCTCAAAGAGCCTTAGTAAACGCTCCACAAAGCAGCTAAACGTTTATTCAATAAACATATGTCTTAGTGCTACCAACGTGGGATGTCAGTATTACAATAATTCTCCAGTGCATATACAGTTGATTTTGTTCGAGTTTCTGTTTCGCTTGGAATGTTGCGTTACACTAAGGTCGTAAAGAACTGTATTTATGGTTTGCTCCCTCCCAACGGCTAATTGGACGGTCGATCCACTGAAAAAACAGGATAATACGTTATTTTGTATACAGTTTTCCGTGGAACAAAATTTTTCGCAGACGTTTATCTTCTCTATCTAATATATGCTTTGCAATTTATCCTTGTATTTTTTCATCCTGTTGATACATGCAGGCTTTATTCATCTTGCAAGATCAAAATATTTCAAATTATTTATTACGTACTTTCCGACCTTAATGCAAAATAACAATTCGTCGAGTCTTTCATTCCAAACCTCTTTTTTTCATTGGTTTACCAATCACCCTAATAGGAGTTAGCTACCCCACCACAAACGAATTAGGTTTTCGTTGCTTGCCATATATTCGGGAACTAGTGGAAAAAATAGGTAAAATTTTTAAATGAGAAGGTCTTAGAGTAGCTTTTAGAGGTGTGTGTTTAGAAGCATCCTCTCAAAACCTAAAAACTAAGTTGAATAAATGTGTGATTTGCACTATTAGCGCGAATGGAGGGGTTTAACTCCATTTCCCTCGCTGATTATCAAGTCCCCTGAAGAAGTGTGAATGTATGAAGGTAATTTATTAGTGTGAATGGAGCTGCTTTCCTCAATTACCTCAAGGAATATAGAGTCCCTGAGGTAGTGTGGACGAAATCTGGTGTGTGGATAAATTTATTAGCGCGAATGGAGGGGCTTATTCCCAATTATCCCAAGGAGGAAACTAGTTTGGTATGACAAATTGGAAACAAAAAATGTAAAATTAAACATGGAGATAAATGCATTAATATCACAGATTTTGATTTACCCTCAAATTTAACCTCCGTATATAAGTAATAATATTCGATATACAAATTAATGTACTTATGTAATATTCAACATACAAATTAGTGTTCTTAAGAAATATTCGACATGCAAATTAATCACTATTTTAAAAATATTTCCTTACAGTAATTTATAGGATAATTTGAGTTGAGTTGTATTTCACGTTTCTTGCACGTTCGAAATCAATCTTTTCGTTGGAACGTCGCGTTGGCGTTGGATTTGCAAGTTGTTCTTACAATTCACGTCGAGTGACTTTAACTGTTTAACTTTAATTTTGCACTGGTGATAACCGACCTTTGACAGTTTAAATATATGTGTTTACTGGTTATTTGAAGGCGCAACTTTTCTCTAAGTGTCATATCTGTCAATACTTGAGAACGAAGACAATCTTACTTAAACATTAGTCAAGAACTTTGTTAAGTCGTAAAAGTTCATCTTCTTAGTGATTTTGTATTTTCTTTGTTTAAGATTAAAATAAAACCACAAGTGAATCTCACAGGATCAATGCTCTTACCATTGGTGCAATAAAATTTACAGTAAGATTAGCTTTTTATAAGATATGTAAGAGTTTATGGAATAAGGTGGTGAAAGGCTGAAGTACCTAAGAAATGAAATATCTCGAATACGTTTGAGAATACAATTTTTAGTCCAATTTGAGATGTACGATAAGCTCCCGATGTTTATCATCTATTGTCGGTATAGAAGAACCCCCCCCCCGTTTTGTACAAAAATGGCACATTCAAAGATTTTGTTATATCGGGTGGCATTCGCTCCTCATATAGAGCCAAATTATTATGTGATACCCTCTGTTCACCAGGGGTAAGACACGGTAAAGAAGTAAAGTAATTATAGACATACAGAACAGATTAATCCTTTTTTACGAACAGATTAACGTCCAACGTTTGGCATCGTTCACATTCATATCTATAATGTTTTTTAATCTGATATCCTATTTAGTACAATTATGACTACTAGCACGATAAAAATATATGTTTGTTTTATAGTCCAAGAATTGTCGTTTTTTAAAAGGGCTAACTCTCTGTCTCAATTGACTGAATATACATAGCTGTTTAAGCTGCATCATAGGAAAATCTTTATTAGCTAACACTCGAGGATTATTGGCATTTGGGTGTTGAGTTCGTTCAGTTTAAAAGAAATAAAGCCCCAAAGAAGCTTGTAGCAATTTAATAAATATTACTGTAATGGTTTCTATTGATTAGCTACTGTCGATCTTTGGCGTTGGGGAAAACTAATTTTAGAGACGAAAACTTTACTTAATCGCCAAAATTACAACAATGGTATTAGCGAACCCTTTTCCATCAGAAAGTAAGGCAGGTGGAAAATCAATTTCTTTTATAACTTACCGTTCTGTTCCCTATGTTTCTCACTTTGCACGTCAAGTATGCGGATTTGCCGATGAGTGCGGAGACATTCTGAGGTGCTGAAGGGTCGAAGTAGGGCTCTTTGGATCCTTGCTGCGGCCTCGGAGTGGCTCCCCTCAACGCGTTCACGCCGTTGGGCATATAAGCACTCTCTGGAAAACAGAAATATGGACCCATTAAAAAGTTTGCTTGACTAAGACTTGACATATAAGTAAAATATTTAAAATATTCACCAACAATCATATTCAGTGGATGTTGAAAATTTTAATTTCAACGTAACACACGTGGACAGAAAACCAGTAGGAACAGATATCATACATACTAACTCGAAACTAAATAATAACAAAAATTAATAACATAAAACTACGTCGATGAATCTGCTAATGACTAATTTGACCAAAATTCGTTTTTTATTTTTTGTAGGAAATTGAAAAAACTAGTTATTGCACTGTGAGAAAGTGGAACTATTGGTAAAAGAACGGTTTAATTTTGTTTTCTAGGTTAAACCAGGAGCTACACTAGTAAGTTGACAATCTAACTGAAAGAAAAAAAAGGCAGTTAGGAAAAAGTAAAAAAGATCATTTAGGGATGACGACTGAGAATTAAACTATTCAATTAAAAGGGGAGAGGTTGTCGTGGAGTCTCCGATTTCAATGACACTTTTTTAGTGATACCAGGTCGATAAATACTAGATGTTTCCGATGGTTCCGTCCAGTGCCCCCCAGGAGTAATAAAAAATATTTCAGGCGGAAAAATTGCGTAATCAAAGCTGCCTCTGCTCTCTCAATCAAATTGAATGAAATTTTAAGGAATTAGTACATCGAAAAATATTGGATGCGTGTATAGGGCTTTGCCAAAATTAGCCCCAGGAATCCCGAAATAATTTACTAAATATTGTGGTGTACTCTTTCTCTATGAAAGGCCAAAAGTAAATTTCAAAATTTATTAATTAATAAAAAAGATTCCAAATTTAGATTTCTTATTTTATTGTTTCTATAGATTTTTCTCCTATTACCTTCATACCCACTAGACGAAAATGACAATAATTTCAAATTGCAAACGTACTTCATACCCAGGGGGAGGTCCCCACGACCTTCCCTTAGCCTTCCCTTCTAAATGCCACATAATCTCCGCGGACCTTCAAACACAGTCAAATTTGGTACGTGACATACATAAAGGAAAAAACGACATAATTGAAAACTTAAAAGAGCTACGAGGCAAGAGCACTTTACGAAAGAAATGAGATATTTTGGGGTCGATGTGGAGTGGGGTGTTGGAGGCATAGTAGGGAACGTTGACTATGATTCCGAGGACTTGGGATTGGAAAGACTAAATTCGTTGGATATTAGTAGGTTTAGTGGTGCCCCATAGTTATAGCCCATATGTCCAAATCAGTTTCAGCAGTGTTTCATAGAGTGTCAGTTTGTTTTTTGACGACATGTTAGATTTGTGTCCCAATAGTTAATTTATTTCTAAATTTGTAAGCTCTGAATCCGAAACAAAAAACCCGCGACAAGTTAGAAAATTGGAGGAAACATTTATAAGGATATCCAAGCGCTACATCATTCCCTCTTAAATAGAATAAATAAATTCCCGACAATTAATATTAAATGATTCAATGATTCTTATGTAACAAAATAATTCCTCTAAACCTCTGTACGAATCTCAACGGTAAAAAAGTATTTTCAGGTTTTGGGAATTTTTTAATTTTTCGACTTAGGTCCACTAAATTACTTATAAACTTCAGAATTACTCACGTAGAAAAATCTGGTTTGTGCCTCCTGAAAGAACGTTAAATTTTCTTTAAGAAAACCTATTTACATTGCAGAATTGATGAAAAAATTCTGCACGAAATATTCAGAAAAAACAAAAATGTTGAAATTAGGAATTTTTTAAAATGTTGCATTGGTAACTGTTAATAATTAAAAACTCCTGGAGCTTTGCAAATTCCTTCAAAAGTTCTACATTCAATTAGCTTTTAGCGGTATACCCACCTTTTTCGATTGCGCTTCTGGTATGCCCAAAAAGTTTGCATTTTGTTGAAAAAATTGGAGTCGATGAAGGGGGCACGTTCAATTTTTCCAGGAAATCCGTCTGGCACTTGAGTTTTGGTCAGTTCTTTAATGTTCAAATCAATCAGTTTGTGCCGAAGAGGGTGCAACGTTTGGAACGAAATGATCATCAGCAGTGAGTTGATGTTTTCCTAATCTACATCAATCACCCTCGTAAAATGGTAAGGTACAATCCTTCCCGACGGAAGGTATTCCACCTTCTCTATTGTGAAAAACCAAGGTCTATGTATGACGTACGTGTACTGGTTTCAGGACCACGATTAACAGAATGCAAAATTTCCTCTTCTGCATCCATTTACTGAGAGTTTTCCCTCTTTCTTCGAGTAAAAGAACCAGTTTCCCTCAGCCTTTGATGAAGTCATTGGAAGGTGCGATCTGCTGGATCTTCTCAATGTGAAAAACGAGCTCGGTATTCTCCCATTGCAGTAGTAGCAGTACCGTTGCTGTAACCGTAAATGAAATGCATATCAGCAAGATGTGCACTAGAAAACAAGGACATAATTTAAATCACCAACTTGAGGATGTTATCAGCTGATGCCATAAAGCGAATTGATTGAATTGAACATTAAACAACTGACACGAAGCTCAAGAGACAGACGGATTTCCTAGAAAAATTGAACATGCCCCCTTCATCGAAACTAGTTTTTTTCAACAAAATTTTTGGCTCTTCCAGAAGGGCAATTCAAGAAGGTGGGTATACTTCTAGAAGCGAATAGAATGGAAGCTCCAGGAGTTTGTAGTTACTAACAGTTGCCAATCCAACATTTAAAAAAAATTCTAATTTTAACATTTTTGTTTTTTCTGAATTTTTCTTGAAGACTTTTTTCACCAATTCTGCAATGTAAATAGGTTTCCTAACAGCAAATATAAAGTTCTTTTAACCACATTTTTCTACAGTGAGTAATTCTGAAGTTTATAAGCGATTTAGTAGACCTATGTTCAAAAATGAAAAAAAAAAAAACACCCAGAACCTGAAATTTCTTCTTTACCGTTGAGATTTGGACAGGGGTTTATAGGATGTTACGTATGTTGGGTAGAAACACCTTTTTCGACACTTATTGCCAGTCACCCTGTGTATGTATATGTATATGTAAAATAATAATTATTAACTTAACAATGAAAAATAAAAACAATGCACAATAACAATACATATACATACGTTAAAAAGCAAACAACGGAAAAAACCAGTTTTAGAGCTAAGAAGGTAGTCAAGTTGATGGCTCTCTCTCCTTCTCTCGTTTTTATCTTCCGGTTGTCTCCAAAACTCTCCATTTAAAAGCACGATCCGATCTGCCGTCTCCACTCTTGCTTCTCCATTCCATCCCTTTCTTATCCCTCCTACTGTGGGCAGATATTTTCAAATGTATCGTGATAAGAAGAAAAGGAGCCGACATCAAAGGACACTTGTGTCGTTCTTTTTATTAAAGAGAAAGAGGATAAATCTGCTTTGAAATGTGGGAAAGGTGAATGGAAATTGCTAATTTTGTTGGCTTCACCTTTTATGCTGCACGATGTGTCAAATCACTCAAACGGGAATGTAAAAAGAGTCGCATATTTTACATGTATTGAGTTTCTGAAATGGAATAAAAAGTCCTTTGATAGAACTCTCATGTCTCCTTTTCATCACTGGTAATTTCAACTTGACGTATGAACTGTGAAAAAATTCATATATATTTACCGGTCATAATTGACATAATAATTATTTCAATAAGTTATTCTTTTTATCTCTATAAAGACCTTAGATAAAAAGAATAATTAATTGAAATTTGAAAAAATGATTGAGGATTACTCTTTCCACCTGCACTTGACAAATAATTATATTATGGAAAATTTTTAAGCATTCGATTTTTTTAGGGCTAATCAAGTAAAATTAGGAAATATCTATTTTTCCTTAATTTGAAAACTAAACTGAACATTCGTTTGCCATAAATTTGCATATACTTAAATATCAACTTAAGTTCATTTTTTCCTTTCAGAAGTATCCCTATTAAAGGAGTGTTTATTTTTCTAATAACTACATCACCATTATTTTATTACATTTAATTGATGAAAGAAAAGAAAAACTACAACAAAATAGTAATTTTGATCATAACTATTAGAAATTATAAATAAATTTTATATTTTTTGATGCGTAAAACAATTAAATCAAAGTTTGGATTTTACTAACTTACCTAATCATAATTTGTAGTATAAAAATATTTATTTTCATTCTAAATCTACGTTTTTAAAAAGTAAAATAAAACGAACAATATTGTCCTTTGAGGCAAGTTGCATTTCACAGATTAAATATGATTCAAAAATATGGCAGTAAGGAGTTACCAGGAAGCAAAAAGTTTATAAACCCCTATCCAAAGCCTGGAATACACCCAAACATTATTCTTTTTTCTCTAGAGGGGTGGACATGGTGTGTCAATTATTTTAGTTACTTCTATCTTTATGTATATAGAAGGACTAAAAATAAAAATTAATAATACGAATATTGTGTGGTGATTAGTGACAGTTAATCGATATTTATTTAGAAATCGTGAGATGCGGTCTGGTGTGATGTAGGTTTCAGAAAAACATTTTCTTTATCGTGCCAATGTTTCGATCTTTATTGAGATCATCTTCAGGGCTCAAAGTGTTTGTCTTCTGTGTAATTGTGCCATTCTTGCGTGTCTTGTCGAGAGTGTCCACTTTGAGCACTGAAGATGATCTCAATAAAGATCGAAACGTTGGCACGATAAAGAAAATGTTTTTCTGAAACCTACATCACACCAGACCGCATCTCACGATTTCTAAATAAATACGAATATTATTTTTGCAAGAATAAATTCAAAGTGGGTGTGAACCATAAAATATGTGTTTGAGCGTACACCTTGTCGTAAAGGAGATAACGGCTCGAAATAGACTCTATGTTCATCACTTTAGATTAGCTGATATTTATGATTTATAAAAACCATAGTTAATAATGCCACAATGAACATTACCTCGGTTTCTCGATATTAAAAATCGCCTTTATATTGCCGCGTTTGGCAAATCTCTTGTAGATTAAAAATATGTTATTAAAACGAAGCCTCTAAAAACTCTTGAATAA